CGGCTTAAAGGGAGAGGTAAATTAATTTATCATTTTCTTTTTCCCTTAAACTATGACTAACACTATTGTGTGACTATGTATGTGTACGTGTGTGTGTGCTTGTTTGTTTGTATTGCCGGTGGTCATGCCACTAAATATAAACGATTTTAATTGGCATTAAGCGTTCATAGTTGTGTTTTAACGTTAAATACAGTAATTAATACTGTGTTATAGGCATTTTTTTGTACTAAAGCTTATTTTTAATTTTCAATATTTGTTTATGTAAACTTTAACTAGTAAATTTACAAAGTAAAACATTTCGAAAATTTACTGGTTTAGTGTTGTAAATAGTCGCGTGCCTATATATCGGACACCGCATTAAATAATGTTATGCCTGTTTGACATTTGCGAAATTCCTCTATAATTATCAAAAAATATGTACTCTTTCTTGCTTAAAAATAATATGAAATCGGCGTGTGAAATTCATTTTGTGGTTATGATGTCCACCGACCCCCCGCCATTATCACACCGGAAGCGGTCAAGAAATCAAATACTGAAAAAGCTCACCTTATTCAATTATAAAGAAAATCGTGATATCATCCTCAGTTCTCTCAAGGTTTATAGAAAAACAATTAATAGTTCCCACATTACGATGTAGCGTTTATTAAAGCAAAAAAAAAAGATTTCTTAATCAGTACTGATCATACTGAAAATATTTTTTTTTTTTTTATATGTACAATGTACATACATATTTTTATATACATACATGCATACATATGTACAGAAAAGGTTTCAGAAATTTTTCATCCGTATAGACAGCTTAATGATATAGTGTAATGTCTCACTCAAATGATCAGCTTGAATGAATATAGACAATTTAAAAAACGGCAACCGTCTTTCCGTAAGCTTTCCTTAGCATGCAACTTGTAATACCCATTTCTTTTTTACATTAATATTTTGAATAAATAATGATTAATTCAAAAAATATGTATAAATTTACGTCACTAATAATTCTGATTCAAAATCCCCAATGAAAATAATTTCGTTTATATATCTCTCATCGTTCTTGATTGATTTTATATACATATATAGTGTAGATGCATATAGGGGTTTTCAATACGGCACTACAGGGGTAGACCGATAGGAACAATAAACGACGCAATATATTTTCCCGCTCTTTTGACATTTCTCTTCAGTAAGGTTTGCCATTTCATCATGGAGAGATATACGATCCAACAACGAGTCAAAATTATTAAAATTTATTACCAAAATTCGCAGTCAGTGACCTCAACTTTGAAAGTTATTAAGATTAAATGCATCTCAAGTCGCCAATAAAATTTGTGCGGTGGACGCGATACAGTTTCCATTTCCGCCGCACAACGATGGTTTCAACGTTTTCGTTCTGGTGTAGAGGTGGTTGAAGATGCACCATGCTCCGGAAGGCCTGTCGTCGAAAATTGCGATAAAATCGCTGAATTGGTCGAAAGAGACCGGCTTAGTAGCAGCCGTAGCATCGGTCAAGAGCTGGGCATGAGTCATCAAAAAAACCTTTATGAACAATTGAAAATTCAGTAAAAATACCGCAAGAGTTTTTTGACAAATTAATATAAGAATGATGGAAATAATATATCAAAATCAGTACAGACTTAATTCTGACACTCTGTGTTCGTTATTTAGCAAAACATATTCCATAACGGTCGTTCTATTTTTCTATTGTGTTCAAAGAATTTTCACTATTTTCATGTATTGAAATTTCAAATAAAATCATCTATACAGAATTTTTCACACCCGTTATTTTTTTATGGGCTAAAAATTGTAGAAACACGTTCTAATCGTTTCTATGAAAAGGTCTTCCACAAGTCGTTAGACCTAACCTTCAAAGAACATAATGAAACACTGATTAAGAAAAATGGGTGTTATCAAAGCTGAAGTTCAGACCAAAAAATCGATGGTTATATCATTTTCTCTTCCCTATGAAAATGTCGCACCATTTCCAGGTTAGAAGGTAATTTTTTGCGAAAAGAATAAAAGAACCTGAAACTAGAAAGCCGAAGGTATATTATCCTTTACAAATACAAAATATTTCATACAAGAACTTGATTTTGGACAATTTCTTTGCAGATAGTACCACTGCTGTTTTTTTGTTTCCCCGGTTGTCTTAGAAAGTTTTGAAACTTTCAAATATTCAGATACCAACCTCATTCATGAAAATTACTGAAAAATACAGATTTTATTAAAGTTATGATTGTTCTGGAAAGTGAATAGTGGATAAGTTTAGCGTTGGTAGTCGCAAATTTCCTAGATAATCATAAAGCACCAAATTTGTGCAATTTAATTATAGAAATGATAGTGAGGAACAAAGGGATCGGTTTAACCAGATTGTAAAGTGTGGGTAGATTGGTATCAAGGTTGTTCAGATTGCCAAATGATGGCTGATTACTACTAGTGCTTAAAAAGATATTGCCACCTGCAAAATTTTGAAAGAAAAGGCAGTTCATTTAAGCATAGCACATGTTTTAGAAATTTTTCTCTCAGTTTATTTGAATATATCCTTACTTTTTTGAAACAAAACATTATAAATATAACTGTTGTTTTGTTACCCGTCTTCTAATTTTAATAGTATAAAATGGACATAAAGATTTCAAAATAAACATGAGAAAATCTTACAAAACCATTGATAGTTTCATGAACTCTAATATATTCAGAATTTATCTTATATTTAGGGCAACAAAAGCACTGTAGGAAAAATTTAAGATCGCTATGTCAAAAACTGAGAGACTAGTTTGCGTATATATTAATACAAACATACAACACATGGACATGGGAAAATCGACTCAACTCTTCTGGGTGTTACAAACTGCGGGACACACTTTATATGCCTTGTTCATGGTATAAAATTGTTAAGGAAAAAAACTGTAAATAGCAACAAAAAAAACTGTTGAGAGCAAAGGAACGTATAAATACAACATATTTGTGGAAAAAAACGCTCTTAGTACAGATATGTGGCACCAGCAAATTCATCATTTCCCTCCGTTCGAAGTCATGCAAATATATCGGATGTTGTGAATTGTGCGTATAAAGTGCGGTCATAATTCAATGAAAAGTAATGCGAAATTGCATGATAACTTCTTTAAATTAGATTCCGGTACCGTATATTCCCTGGATTCCTTACTTCTTTTAAGAAGAGAACTCTTTTTTTAGACCAAAAATAGAATTTCATGAATCACGCTTTTTTGTCATTTGTCTCAGAATTTTTTGCATGCACAAAACCCATTAAACATAATATATATGTATATATATGTAACATGTATGTATATAAGCAGTGAAAACAAAAAATAATTAAATTATTGAACGATAAATTGAAATGTGTATAATGATTGTTCCTTTATAAAATGCTGAATATGAACATTGGTTGCTGTTATAATTTCTTATATGGTGATATTTAAGTGAAATGTAAGTGCATATACAGCTGTGTTCATTGAATTAGCAGTACAGCAGAAACGAAAATATATTACGTTTTTATTTTTGCATAGTCCTCTTCATATAGTACATATATGCAAGTTTATAGCTTTTATAAAATAGAATATAGATATAAGAAAAAAAACCCTTACATTTGCTTATCTTTTATTAATGTTTTTTGGTATTTTTTCGCACATTCGCCTGTTTACTTAAAACCAGATTTTGATTTCCGCTAAAAAATGCGGAACTTGTTTTTTAAATTTGTACAAAGTGAGTTCTATTGATACAAGTTATTATATAATAACACACGCTTATATTTAACCGTTGAGCTTAGATCTGCGCCCAATCCTCAATCTGCCTAAGATGCGGTAAAGAAGGCGGGGATTGCTTTGAAACATATCCTCCCATAAGTTTTTTGTAGGTTTGAGATTCGTGAATTGAGCTGGTAATACCATAGCCAATAATATTTTCATGGCTAAGCCAGTTTTTAGCTAATAGATGACTTTTGGCAAACTCCGACTGAACTTTGATATGTCTTTGGTTAGGTAAATGCACCTTCAAGTTTTCATTCGACCGTCGTCATTGAAAATTTATACCGGTGATCCTCAATTTCAGCTAAGATTTTATTACCCTAGATTATATAAAAGGAGTTTGTTGACTGATACCATGCGGCGGTCCTCTAAATTTAACGAATCTTTATTTCTATATATGTTTTTCGCTCCTTTCTTAGCTCAACAGTAAACTGGCTATCTTCCTTCGAGCTGTAAGGCGTTCTATGCTTTAAAATTAAAAATATTCCATTTTTATAGTACATTATAATTTAAGTTATAATAATGTACTCAATTTAACTCATTTTGTACAAATTTTTTCCGCACTTTTCATCAGAAATTAAAAACTGCTATTTCAGTGAACAGCCATAAATGCATGAATGTGAGCAAAAATATCAAAAAAAGGCATAAAAACTAGGCAAATATAAAGGGTTTTTTCTTTTTTCTAATCTTTATATTATAGTTTACAAAAACTATTTGAAAGCGATCAACTAACAAAAGCGAATATACAAAAAAAAAAGTAATATGTTTTGCTTTTGCTGCACTGCTATTTCAATCAACACAGTTGTAGGGCATATGCATGCATATACAATGTGCCAATCCACATATTCAGTTATCGAAACACTTTGTAGGATTTGTTTTTATAATCGAGAGAAAAATTCCTAAATTCCACTGCTCAACGCTCTAAGTTCATGTTTGCAGCAGAGTAATTATTAGTTGGAAAGAGGTTGATTTTTTATTTTTTTAGTGTAATTAATTCAGTAATATCGAGAGAGGTTGCTCTTATATGGATGTTCGTTAAGAAAGTGTAATGCATATGGACGAAATTATTTATTTAGCATAGTAATAGAATCTTCTAATTCTGTCCCACTTATGTTATCGTCTTCTACTTTACTTTTCAATTGCCTACTCAGTCCGAAGTAGCACCTGTTAGCAAGAGTTTATCTGGGTTTCTAGGCTGACATTGTTGGTGGTATTTATGCTGGTTCCCAAATATTCGAAGCAATCTACAAGTTCAAAGTTATGACTGTCAACAGTGCGTTAAAAGCCAAGTAGCGAGTGCGTCGACTGTTTGTTTGATGACAGGAGATATTTCGTCTTATCCTCGTCCTCTTCAAAATATTCGCCATTCGATGTTATGCACTTACGCCAGTGCTTCTTCCAATCGTCGAAGTTTTTCTAAATCTCGATTTCTTCGATAGCCTTTAGTGCTTTCAGTAATGTGTTTTTAATGTCATTTGTGCTTTTAAAACGGCGACCTTTCTACGACGGGGTTTTGGAAATAGGGAAAAGTCATACAGAGCCATGTCGGACGTATATGAAGGCTGGGGCATTACTCAAAAGCTCATACTTACATGTTTAGCCTTAGTTACTACTACACCTCGTACATATGTAAATCATATGCAGACAGGAAAACTTAAATCACAATTGTGAGAATTATATACCCATTTAAAGACAATTTACTTTAACTTCCTTTTTTCCTAAAAAGATCTATTATAATCGCCATGTTTATTCAAAATTTTTATTTTACATATCTGTCAATTGATTCAAAATTCGAAATAATTGCAGGAACTTATTGATATGGATGTTGACCACTCGGAGAAGCACTCGCTTAACAATGATTTCATGGACAGTGAACGCAGTGAAATAGATGGAGCAATGAGGCATCCAGGTAAAGGCATAAAAATGCGATTACAAAAATTTTAACTAACCAAATATCGGAACGTTACAGTTCTGCACAAATATTTGTATAGAATCGTTATTTGAATGCGTAATTATGTAAAGATTTGTAGATTACCGATAGAAATTACAAATTTCTACTAAAAATCACCATTAAAAAATCTCACCATTTTAAGTACTGAGCTTGTAGTTGTTCAGCTGACAATATCCGTGAGAATACCGAACTACGCAAATAAGAGTTAAATCATGAAATAAATGCAACTGCGCTAGATATTGACACGCTTTGTCAGTTTTTATTTTCAACCAGGTGCATTTGCAGTAATTATTTACTGCAATAATTAAATGAGAATATAAACACACTGAGTATTGATATGCTTGGTTGGCTCGACGAGTGAGTGTTAGTACTCGCCAATCAGCGTGAAATATAAAAGTCATAGTTAACGAATATAATTATGTAATATCATATGTATATCGAACTTCAAGATACGGGTTATTCCATTTAGTGATATTACACTTCCAACTCAACGGCCAACCAACTTCTCTGAAGCTTAAATATAGCTTTGCCTTTGGTAATGAAGAGCGATATATTTCGCTTATAACAAGCGATGCAAATCATACATTGACGGGTAAAGACAGCCTTTTGGGAACCCAGAAAATTGCCTTAGTTGAATGTGATGTATCGACGCTAGCAATTTAAATCCATAACAAACTTGATTAGGCACTTCATTTATATTTCCTTTAATTCACTTATCCATTGCTGAGTGCGGCGAAAACCGCTGGCGTAAATGTCAGAGTTCATTAACAATTTTCTAGAAATCGTTCTTGTAACAAAACATGTAAATGTATCCCGAAATATTGTTTTGAATGTCTAGTGTATTTTCAAAGTAGATGTGTAGCTTTTTCATAATCTGTATGCACTTAAACTTTTGATATTATCTCGTGATTCGATTGTGGTGGTTCACATGACAGCTGATATTAGCCAGTCTTACAAAAATATATATTGTATTTTTTGGTACTTAAGGCAAATATTATATCTGGTGGCAATCTGTAATAGCTTGTTGTACTCTACAGCTTCAATTCTAATATTATATGGAGGACGATAAAGCATAACATTGCGACACAGTACTTCATAAACGATCCGAACTGTCCAAAGTTCAAAAAGTGAAGGAAATAAATAACGTTATACATATTTATATCAATATTGTCCTATATACCCTGATTCATTGTCGCTTAATTTGAAAACATCACTTACAAATTTAAATATTTCCATAAAATCTCCGCTTTTGCAACCCGTGGGCCACCTATGATATATTTAGTAGGTGAATTAATCAAAATATTTTTCAAAAACTCATTACGCATTCATTTAAATACAAAACTATGTTTGTTGTATAAAAATCTTTAATAATGAAATAAATTTTGATAGAGGAACTGGATGCTCTGGAAGAACTTGCTACAGTGGATGTAAATGCTTATGCTCATAAGAAAACCTTGGCACAGGGTATGATGGATTTAGCATTACTCACAGCAAATGCCAATCAGTTGCGCTATGTGGTGGAGACCTATAAAAGTCATCCATATTTCTATCCCAGTTTGGTATTATTGATACTTAGTATTGGCTTCCAAGTAAGTTACTCTTTTATACAACTCTTTTGGAAGCAGTGTGGATAATTGCGTTTTTTTCTAACTTTTTAGATAGCCGTGGGCGTTGGTTTGATACTCAACAGTCGTTACAACATTGAAGACAAAAAGGAAGTATGCCATGCTGAAAAAGTTAGCAATTACACAATATGCGGCATTTTTATAATAACTGTGATCAATGTCTTCATCTCTGCGTTTGGTGTGGCGGACGCGCCTGATGGCAAGTAATAGTGGAGACCGCTTCAATCAATACGGTGCATAAAATAATGTGATATTCAAGATTATTGTTTGTTTTGTAAGGATAAATATCTCATTTTATATAAAAAATGCTTACATATTTATGTTTATGTATATAATATGTACGTAATTATAAGTTAACTTAAGTAATCACAAATTATTATAATTGTTTTATAAAAATGTAAATTTAGCATATACAAGTATAATTATACTTTTTAATTAGGCATTATCATTTCTCGAATACTTTATGCACATCAAACACATATTTGTATGTCACATGACACATATATGTAATACGAAAGTTGATTTAATATATATTTTTATATTTTTAATTGGAGCATCGTTAACTTATTGTTATTGTTGCTATTCATGTGATCCATGAAATACTATATTAAAAGAGTGTGCTTATGGCCCTTCGAAATTTATTTTAGGCACCTTAAAAAGTGTACGTCCATTTTAATACTCTAGTTGCTAGAGTATAATAGTTTTTGTGAAAAAAATTTCGAAAAATGGGCGCTACCCCGCTTTCTAATAATTTTAATATACATATACCCTAAACTGCTAATGCTACAACAACGAAATTTGTGCAGAATAATTTTATAAAACTCCTACCAACTTTATAAAAATGGATGAAATCGGATGATAACCCCGCTCACTCCCCAAAAAAATACACAAAACAATAAATCAATATCTAGATACGTCAGAGATATTAAATTTTACCACCAAGGTGATATGAGAGAGCTTTACAGGAGCCGATGTGAAAATTGGACGATGGGTCATTTTTTGGTAAAATCACATATCTCGAGACCCGACAGTAACAATGCGAAAAAGGGCGAAGTCGGACTACAACCCTTAGCCCCCACATACTTAATACAAAGATTTTTGAACTTCCGGGTGACTTTGTACCACATATATCAACCAATATGTTAGTTATTCCAATGAAAATAAGAGAGCGTATTTTACTCATAACAGTGCATCTTTGTGTCTAAAATAGATAAAATTGGGCAAAAACTTTACCTATCTCCCATATAACTAATATCAAGATTTTCGAACATCTGGCTGACTCTACTCCATATGATTGGTGATTGTATGTGAGGAACTTTAATGAAACTCAGAGAACATTGTGTTATTTTGTGCCATGATAATAGTTAATATATAAAATCGGCTCGATGCTACCCCAACTTCCATATACTATACGTTATGATTTCGTTATATATAGTATATAAAATTCCTTGACTTCCGATAGTAATTGCAAGAGTGTAAAATGTTTGGTTGCACCCGAACTTAGCCCATCCTTACTTTTTGAAATATAGATTTCCCCATATAGCACATAAAATATACATATATATTTTACGCTTTAGATATTGCTGAGTAGTATTTTTAAATATTTATAACATACATTCGCGAAAGTACAACTGAATTGAATACATACAACGTGCGTTCCACAGTAAACAGGAATCTAGCGCCCCGTGGTGTCGACTGGTGTGTTAGTATCTGTCTGTATCGATTGTCTAGTGATAATTTCATGACATTGCACCGGCTTACTGGCGGTCGTACCGGCCAACGAGCTTTCGACATTCTTTTGTACCGTGCAAAAAGCTGTATTGAAGCAGAAGGAGATCATTTTGAATAAAATAAACTGATATTGCCGAAAAAACCATTTGTTCTGTGTTTTTTTTTTAAGTCCTGTTTACTTTGGAAAGCACCAAGTAGTATTCAATATCCCTTTGAATATCAGACGTGACAATTGTACCAAATTTTGTACTAAACAGTGGACTACCTAATATTAGAATATTACTGGTCATTTAATGCGTTGTTTGTAACTCCATAAAATATTAAAAATAATCCAATATATAGAAATTGTAATTTCACACACCAGCGCTTAATTTTCTTGCCGTCATCAAGAAAATCATCATACCAAGATGATTCCTTTCGTTTCGGAATTTAACTCTTTTATCTCCGAACCCAATCGTCAAAGCATAGTTCTAGTTAATACTGAAATTAAATATGGTCTATTTTTCCGACTATTAAATTAGATAAGTAAGAGGTAGTAGTAGAAAATAGAGAGCATAGGTATAAAGGAACTGTAGGACGGCTTTTTACGTATAGCTGCAAACGAAACCATTGCTTTTCGGACAAGGCAAAAGAGCAGTCCATCTTGCAACGTTAGAACCGACTATGTATCTAAACATTTTCGCAAAATGATACCGAATTTTTACAAGAAAATTATGCTATCGATAAAGCCCAGCCAATGGAGAATGTTATAGAGCCATGTGGAAGAAATTTGATTCCAACAAAATTTCGCTACATGCCATACAGCCAATGAAACAAATAATTTATTGAAGGAAACTTTTTGGTGAGCACATTATCTCGCGATGTGGGCCTGTGGCGTGACCTCCACGAGCCCATGATTTAACATCGCTATACTAATTTTTGTGTAGTTATGTGAAGTTTCTCATCTACGAAGATAAGCCCGAAACGATCAACGCTTTGGAACATAATATTTATAATGAAGCTAAAATCTTGGCCATAAAATTAGATTTAATGATTTTTATTTCTTCGTGAAAACCACATGTCTACAAAAATGCCCCTTAGCAGCTGTAACTTACTATCTTTATAAGTTTAGATATAGATATCGCGGCTGCTTACAATCTAATTACTAATAGTTTATCGAAAAATAAATTTTTGGGCAAAATCAGTGAAGGGTATTGAAACCATCGAAAGTTTGTCCAAGTAAGGTGTTTTTGCAAACCTTTTAAGTAGCTTAACATAGAAAAATGAGAGGTATTTATTTCATTTTTGAGGATATGAATTGCGCCGCCGGGAGAATCATACGAGCATGTCTAAGCTTTTGTAAAAAGGGCATCGAAAATATGGCACAAAAAAAATAGCGACGCCCAGTTAATTTATAAACAAAATTGTATTATCTGTGAGCTTTCCGAAACTGAGTACGCTTTAACGAATGAACCATCTACCGATGACATGTACATATATAGCATCAACTGATGATCAACACGTCAATAAAATAAAGGTATTGGTGCGAGAGAATCGATGTTTACCAGTCAGATATTTTACTGCTGGATTTATACTTACGATCCGGAAACAGACGTTCAATCGTGCTAAGTCTTGGATCTATGCTTACCACCCGGAAACAGACGATCAATCGGCCGAATATCCGTGTGACTTCTGTCTATTCAGCAAACTTAAAATGGTCGCTCTGAGGAAACCGTTTTGAGTCAATTTAAAACATTAAACATGAATCGCTAAAATAAATATTGACTATTATTGAAAAGGGGAAGTTATAATAAGGTACCGATAATTTACATTTTCTTTCAATTTGTAAGGTAACGATTATTTTATGGCTACACAGTTTAAGTTTACCTGTCGCTATTATCATAATGTGCGCATCTGACTACACATATTCACATTCGTATAGGTACTATATATTATTTATATTTCTTCGCTTTATAAAACATCAAGCTTGTCCTCAAAGAAAACACATCACTTATTTGTTCCACATACATATCCATTTACATATATTATACATCTATTTATTAAGGTTTATTGATGTCAATATTACAAAAAATGTATCAGTTTGCATTCTACTTGGTTAGTTGGTATGTCAATGAAACTACGTGTGTCTAAAGTACTAACTATATCTAACAACTAATATCACAATTATTTAATTGATTTCGTGAATGCCAATGAAGTGAAAGTTGTGCGGCTCCAGCAAACGTGAAGAATTCTATTAATGCTATGCTTTCCTTATGTTTGTTGTAAAGCCACATTATAAGAGTTGCAAACATATTTATTGCTTATCTAACAATTCGAAGTCGCACACCAATGAGAAGTGATCCGACGGATACTGGAAGCTCGGTGTGCGATTTTTGCCAACTTCATCGTCTCGAGGAAATTCCAAGCAATTGCGAACCTACAAAAGAAAAAAATTAAAATAACTATACTAGTTGAGACGAAGTAGTTACATACCTTAAACTGCTCAGGCGTGTAGAACACATAATCGATTGTGTGGCATTCTTCCCCATCTTCACGTATTTTCCATGTGGTATATGGCGGTTCACATTGTATTGATTTCATCACTTTGTCATCGCACAATTCTACATGCTCTGCGTCAGTTTCTTCCTCCTCCACCGACTGCGTCTGAGCATCATCACTCGAATCTGTATTTGCCTTGTGCTTCTCAGCGCTGTCATTATTACATTCATCGCGCTCGGCTTTGATATCTGCATAAGCGCTGGCCAATTGCAACTGCTTGCCGCTCAAGACTGTCGCATATACAGGCTCAGTGGGTTCAGCATTGAAGTCGCCGCAAATCAAAACGGGCTTTTCACCACTGAACTGTTTCACGAAATGCAATAGATCGCGTCCTTGCTCATTGCGTAGCTTCGACAGCAACGAACCGTGGCGTGCCTTTAGGTGAGTTGTACATACGCAGAACTCTTTACCAGTACTTTTCACGACCAGATTGACAACAATCGCCACTTGATTGCTTTGCACGCGCCACACCTCCAAAATGCGCGTGTCAAAGTTCTTCAACTCAAATTTGTCACGTCTAAAGAATATGGCGCAACCGTCGGGTCCGTTATTCTCCTCTATGTATAAACATGGCGAATCGGGTTTCGGGAAAAATATGCCTTCATAGTTTTGTGTGCCCAAAATTGTTTGTAGAAATTTGAAATGATCCACTTCCTGTGGGTTGCATAAGAAAAAACGACGTTGTTTATGAAAGTGTTCGAAAGAAAAAATAGAATAAAAAAAAGTAAGTAAAGCATTACCTGTAAACAAATAATATCTGGATTGTATTGTAGTATCTCTTGTACGATCAGAAATTTGCGATTCTCCCAAGTCAGCGCCTCCTCTGGGCAGCGCACGAAACCGTCATTGTTCTGTCCCAGCGCTACAAACAGCAAAAAACAAACGCAAAATACGAATATAAATATTTTAAAATTCAAAAATGTTAAAAAATGCATGCGAGTGAATATCTGTGCCTCATGAATTCTTTATGATCTTACACGCGGTTGACAGACAAATTCAATTTGAATATCCTGTTTAGAACTTACTTTGTGATAAAATATTCCATTGCAAAACGCGTATATGATTGGGTAACGTCGAGGCCACGCTATAATCTGAAAGCGTAGAAGAACAAATGATCATTATCATCGCTGAATTCATAAAACAGCTGGGCAGTCTCGTAATCGTCAATGTTTGTAAAATGAAATGTGGC